ATCCTCTTATTCTTCCAAGTGAATTGGTCACCTTTGTAGCCAGGATCATGGAGACCCAAATCATGAATAAAGTCCTGCAGGCTGGCAGAATTATTAGCATTCCACGGATTACCACCATCCTTTTCACTCTCATGAAGGGTAGTGTTAAAATCTCCTATAAATATTTTGTTTGTTTATGATTTAATAGTACGAGAATAATGGAACCAGTTTTTTTATTTTATTTGTTTAGTAGTTCTGTAAATAATTAAAGGTATTCTCGCCATTAAGAAAAGCCTTTACATGAAAGTTTCGCTCAACTAATTAAGTTTGGAGAGCAAAGACATTATAGGTAACAATAGTCTAATTTATGAGCACTTCTACTATGCTATATAGTATTGGTGCTTTAATGTACAACTTAAAGTTGTACCATAACATTTAATGTATAAGTTTAGGTTGTTTTTTTTTTTATGACAAGGAGACCCGAGGGCCAAAGAAGAAGAAAATTACAGGGGGGTAGGGGTGATCTGGGGGGAGGGGATGATGCGCCTAGTGAAAGTCACACCTCTAGCATCATCAGAGATAAGCGGGATAGTTACGTCCGGCGGAGAGGCCAGCTCATACATACCGTAGGGATAGACGAGACTGTGCTTCGAGAGCCAGTCCGCGACTCTATTCCCTTCGCGGTATGTGTGAGCTAGTCTTACCACCCAATCCTGAGCAATCAATCTTTTAATAGCAGCAATAAGGGTCGAGTAGGGGTGAAGAGGATCAGATCTGTTGTTCACCAGTTCTAGAGCAAGGCGCGAGTCAGATTCGACCAGGATAGTTCTGTGTCCACTTCTCCAGGCGACCTGAAGGCCATGATACAGTCCCCATAGTTCTGCCGCTGCAGCAGTGCAAGTTCCCAGGCTAGAGACGAAGCCACAAATCCATCGGCCGACATCATCGCGGAGCACCCCCCCCCCCCGCGCCAGCCTTCCCCTGGCTACCTGTTGCAGCACCATCGACATTTAGCTTAAACCAACCAGGGGGCGGCGGAGACCACCCAATCTCAGCTGCAACTCGCTGCTGCCCGCTGTTGCCGTTGCCGATGTCAAAATGCGGCGAGTTCCAGGCCTCGAACCACAGCTTCGCCTTAGTCTTGACTGCGTTGGTGAGGGAAGGGGGAGAAAGGGTCTTTGAAATTCCTTGGAAGCAGCCTTCGTTCCTGTTCTTCCAAATCAGCCAGAGAGCAATGGCAAAAAAGGCGTTCCAAGGCATGCCCATACTCGTGGAGTCTTCGTTGGAGAGGTTATTCTTCAACCACTCTGCGGTTGGGCTGCTGAAGAAAGTGGGCTGGTCTTCCGGCTTCACAAATCTTGTCCATAAGAAGGCTGCTGCTGGGCACTCCCTGAATATGTGGGTAAGAGTCTCCGGGTGATTCGGGCATTTGTAGCAGTCCGCCGACTCAGAGATTTGACGCTGATGGCGAAGGGAATTGGTGCTGATTCTACCAAGCATCACTAACCAGGCAAAGCATCGAATGCGCTCCGGGACGGGAAGCTTCCATATCGTCTTCCAAACCTTTTGGTGAGGTACTGCCGCCGAGTGCTTTAACATCCGGTAAGCACTCTTGACTGTAAATCGCCCGTCCGGGGATGGTTGCCAAAAGAGAGCATCATCTTCAGTTGCCAAAGGGTCCACCGCGATGGCAGTGATGCGATGTTGCACGTCCAGCGGGAGGATTGAGTTGAACTTGTTGATGCGCCAGCTTCCCTCTTCATCAACATAATCCGCAACCTTGGCTTCCTTCTCCTGCTCCGGGATGTCGGCGATCGCCAGCTCTTGGAGGGGGACCTGAGAAATCCATTTATCCAACCAAAAGTTAGTTTTATTCCCTTTATGAATGTTCCAGGCACAGCCCTGCTTGAGCAGAGGAGCCGCCTTAGTAAAACTCGCCCAGGTGAAGGAACTTCCCCGAATTGGTTTGATAAGGTCGATGTGTCTTCTGTTCCCTCCATACTTGCTTCGCATAAGTTGAACCCAGAGAGTGTCTTTCTCATTTAGCAACCGCCAGCATCCTTTGGTCAACATGGCGAGATTGGCGTGTCTGGTGGATCGCAGTCCTGCTCCTCCATTTTCTTTAGGCTCCAAGAGATGAGGCCAGGAGACGAGATGAAGCTTCTTTTTGTCTTCCGTGTCCCCCCAAAAGAAATCTCTGTTGAGACGGTCAATAGACTTGCAAATGGAAGCTGGAAGGAGCTCCATCTGCATAGGATAAACAGGAATAGCAGTAGAAATCGATTTAACGACAGTCATTCGGGCAGCAAGAGAGAGATGCTTAGCTTTCCAAGGAGCCAGCTTCCTTTGGATACGCAAGATCAACTCTTGGTATCTTGCTTTGCTGACTCTGCCATGAATAGCATTCACACCCAGGTATCTCCCAATATCAACCGTCAGCGGGATTGAGGCCCTCCTGCTCAGCCACCTAGCTCGACGCCTTTCGATGTTTGCCGAGACGAAAATGGTGGATTTGTTGTAGTTAACCCGTTGTCCGGAGCTTTGGCAAAATTCGTCCAGGCATTGCTTCACAATTCTGATCTGAGAGCTCTCCGCCTCTGCAAAAAGCACCAAATCATCGGCGAAAAAAAGGTGAGATAGAGCCGGGCCATCTTTGGATAACCTGATGGGTTTCCATAGCTTATCCCGGATGGCCTGGTCAATTCTGTGAGATAAACGTTCCATACAAAGGATGAAAAGGTAAGGAGAGAGGGGGTCTCCCTGGCGAACTCCTCTAGATGGAGTGATCGGATGGGAGAGCTCTCCATTCCATAAGAGCCGCATGTTGTTCTTCTCGACACAGTACATGATGCAACTGATCCATGTACTTGGGAGCCCGACTTGAACGAGAGTATCTCTAAGGAAATCCCATCTCAGCCGATCGAAAGCCTTCTCTAAGTCTATCTTGATGACAACCCCTCCCTTCTTTCCTTTCCTTTTTCTGAGCGAGTGGAGGACTTCCTGAAGAACGATAATGTTATCTGCTGTCTGCCTGCCGGGGATGAAACTACTCTGGCGGGGGGAGATGAGATGCTTCATGATAGGCTTCAGACGGTTGGCGATCGCTTTGGTAATGGCTTTGAGGCAGACATTATTCAGAGAGATCGGACGCAGCTGAGACACCATCTCGATATTCTCCACTTTGGGGATGAGCACCACGGTCGAGGCCACGGCGCTGTCCGGGAGAGTACCTGTGGAGAAAAAATCCATAGCCATGTCGATTAAACTTTTACCCACTGTCCGCCAGGCTTTTTGGTAGAAAATCGCTTGGAAGCCGTCCGGGCCGGGAGCTTGAAGAGCTTTCATCTCATGGATAGCTTTGTGAATGTCAGATCCTTGGAAGGGCCGAAGGAGCATCAACAAGTCCTCTTGGGAAAGCCTGGGGAAGGCATTCTTTGGCATGAGATCCGAGTAATCAGCAATATCCTGCGTGTACAACAAGGTAAAGAAGTCAAAAACCAATGCTGCAAGATCATCGGGATTCGAAATCCATTCCCCATTTGCTGCCTTAAGGCTCCCAATTTTGTTCCTTCTTTTCCTGATGGAAGCTTGTTGATGAAAGTAGGCAGTATTGCGCTCTCCATAGTGCACCCACTGCTCCCTCGATCGCTGGAACCATAACAGTTCCTCCTGCGCAAGAACCGCATCGAGCTCGGCTTCGAGTTTGGCCTGTAGCTTCAAGAGGCCTGGGGAGAAGAAGTGGCTGGCCTTGTTCTGGATTCCTTGGATTCTCTTCAGAAGTCTTCTTTTCTTCTGGAAGATGTTGCCAAAGGAGTTCCTGTTCCAGAGCTTCAACCTCTCACTTAAGGACTCAAGCGCTTCCGGCAGGGGAATTTGGGGGTTCCAGTTACCTGTGAGAAAGTCAGAAAAAGAATCAGAAGTAAGCCATGCGGCCTCAAAGCGGAAAGGGCGGGAAGGATTCTAGTTGACTCCCTGATTTGTAACCGTGGTAAGCAAAGGATGGTGATCAGAGTGGATGCGGGGAAGATGAGTAACGGTAGAATCAGGGAAGAGGATGTTCCAGCCATCATTACACAGACTTCTATCGATGCGGCTGGCTTTATACGTGGAAGCTTGATCGCCTCTGGTCCAGGTAAACTTGGGCCCCGTAAAACCGAGATCGATGAGGGCTGCTTTGTTTATGCGATCGTTGAAGACCTTGCAGCTCCGAAGAGTGGCCGCCGAAGCAGGCCCAGATTTCTCTTCCGGCCCCCTGATGGAGTTGAAATCTCCGGTGAGGAGCCAGGGGAGATCATTCGTCTCGCTGATGCGTTGAATGGAATTCCAAAGGTGTTGCTGGAGGCTCCGGCGCGGGGAGGCATAAACGGCAGTAATTAGGAAAGGCTGACTAAAACCAGTGGAGACCTTAACCGAGAGGTGTTGGAAGCAAGCCGAGGTGAGCTCAACAGTGAATCTGTCGGATTTCCAACAGAACCAGATGCCTCCACGGCGGCCGTCAGCTTCCACGCGCATAATGTGGGGAAAGCCGAGCTTCCCACAAACCCTGTTAGCCGAAATCCCGCTCACCTGAGGTTCCAGCAAAATCAGAAAATCAGGCTGATTAGTTTGGATAATGAGCTTCAAGGCGCGGATAAAATGGGGGTTTCCAGCGCCACCAACGTTCCACGAAAGAACCTTAAAATTCACAAGATGATTTATTGACATAAGGAAAAAAGGGAAGAAGAGGGCAGAAAGACGGGTCGGAGGATCAAATCCCGGCCGCCGGAGGTTGAGTCGAGTCGTGGCGCTTGATGGGTTCTGGTTCAGGGGCCGCTTCAGAAAGTGCTGTCGGGGGTCCCTCAACTTGGGGTTTTGAGAGGCCAGTCCAAGCTTCAATTTCCTGGAGAGTGAGAGTTGCGATGCGCTTTCGACTCTTACACTTCTTCTCCTTCGTCGGGGTCCAAATCTGGACGGCCTTAGCAGCGGCCGGAACCGGGGTTCCTCTCTTCGTATTTTGTTTTCGCCCCTTCTGATGTTTAGTCCTAGATGCCGCTGAAGGGGAGTTTCGATCGACATTCCGGCGGGGGGGGGGGGGGGGGGGTCTGATACGGGGGGATCTCCACGATATGGATGGAGGTCGAGTTAGGGCCGATGATCGTCTGAGTGCTTGGGGGTGTCGGGCCGGTTGGAGTCGGCTTATTGGAAGGGTCGGGCTTCTTGACTGTGTCCGGATTGATTTTGGGTTGGGGGATCTGAGTTTCGGGCCGTGCCAGCTGTTGGGCCGAGCATTCGCCTGGTCCAGAGACCTTCTTGGCTTTGTTCAAAGTGGGGGCAGGCCCAAGGACGCCTTTGGAGACTTTCACTGTGGAGTCTTGCGGTATGATCTTTGCTTTCCCCTTATTAATATTTCCCTTTTCCAAACTCTTGCTCGGAGGCTCATCTGCCCGTTGGGATCTCATAATGGAGTCAGCCGAGATAGTTTCCTTTCTCTTCTCCAATTCCTTTTGTGGATCGCTTCCTTTCCCATTTTTGGTTGGCGACAGATGGAATCCTCCGTGATTTGAGTTTCCCTGAATATTACTCGCTCTTTCCTTTTCCGGTTGTCTGCCATTACGCCGCGATCGGCGCGTGACCTGCATCCAAGGTCCGAAACCAACCTTCTCCTCCGGCGAGGTTTCCGATGTAAGATCCGGCGCCAGCGTTTGTATGCCAGCCGGAGAAGAGGCCGACTTGATTGAAGGGCAAGTAGTGGAGGTGTGACCTATCCTTCCGCACTCGAAACAGACCACTGGGAGGTTCTCATATTCAAGGTATTGCCAGGCTCCGTCCAACCAAATACGAGGGACCAACGGCTTTCCTAAGTCTACCTCCACTGCAATTCTGGCGAATCTAGCTCGTTGTTGATGTTCGGTGTGGTAGTCAAGTTTGATGGCACGCCCAATCAAGTTCCCCAGCATGAAAAGGACCTCCTTGTGGTAGAAATGTATCGGGAGAGCAGGGAACTGGACCCAGACGACCATCAGCTTCGGGAGGTCCTCGGAAAGACGAAATTCCGGTGTCCATTGTTGCACTGTTAGGTAGTGGTCAAAGATGGTCCAAGGGCCATCTGTAAGAGCTCGAAAGTAATCGAGGTCGTTGCTTAACCTGACGAGAAAGGCCTCCTTTCCAAGTCCTAGAATTTCCATTCCTCCAGTCGGTCGCCATTGGGATCTCAGCTTATTGCTGAACGTCGTGAAAGAGACGCTGAGACCCAATAGACGCACAACTAGAGTGCGTTTCCATGGAGCACACAATTTGGATTTGAAGCCGCCGGAGACTTGGAGGGCTGGCTCCCCGTTATGGAGAGTGGGAATCAAATCATGTTCACAAACCGGTGTCCAGGTTACCAGAGCCTTCTGGTTTTCATTAGGATTTCCAGCAACTACGTTGGCATAGGAGACTGGGGGAGATCCCGTGGCCGGGATGGGAGCTAGACGCGGTTGATCAATGACCATGCTTTGTGATGAGGCGACGTCTTGCGATGGTTCCTGGTGCGCGGGCAGAGGCGAAACTTGTGTGCTTGTTTCTGTCGGAGCTGATGGAGCGGTGGGCGGGTCTGGAGGTCTCCCGGAGGGGGTGAGCTCCGTCGCCGTCCGAGGGTCATTTGAGAGCATCGTTGAGTATTATTCGGTCAGTTTCTGCACCCTCTCAGTCCGTACGTATAGTTAATTTTTAAATCCTCTCGATCTATATATAGATGTATAAGTTTAGGTTGTACCATAAAGCAATTTGCACCATTATGTTATGGTATAACTTTACAATTTGAAGTTGCACCATCACATAAATGTACAAGTTCAAGTTGTACCATAAAAGAATTTGTACAAAAAGTATAGGTACAATCTGAAGTTGTACCATAATGTAAATGTTACAATTTTAAGTTGTACCATATATGCAAAACCCTATAGCACCAATACTATATAGCAATGTAAAATTCCTCCTAATTTAGACGGTATAAATTTTGCTTGGAAACAACGAGTTTGGAAGGTTGCTTTGTAGACAAATTTTCACACAATCCTCACCCTTATATAGATGACAACAATTCACTTGCAAGTATTAGGTATTATTTAAAAAAGGTTAAAATGAAATCTCCGGATTGAAAACTAATAATAAAATCAATAGACTAAAGTCTAAACCCTTTGGCAGCTAACACAGGATTTCCTACAAGGTCAATACTATGGTGCCGCTTTAAAAGTGCGGCACCGGTAACGCAACTTCTAATTAGTTCACGTGGAGCTGATGTGGCATTGATTTGTTTAATTAATATCAACCAAACCCGAATAACCCGTTGGTAATGGCCCAAACGGCCTTGGCCTGTCCTAAAGTAACTACACAAGGATTCCGTTGAATGCTTTGTTTTCATGTTTCTGTTTAATTAATTAAATTAAAAACCATGTAAATGCTCTTTCGAAAAAATCATAAAACAGAAGGATCGACATCCCAGCTCATCGATCTCCCTCGTCGGCGGCCTCTACATAATCGCTCTCGGCGACTTGTCCGTCCTCTATCCCATCTCCTGGGTCTATCTATCTGCTCGATTGGAATTCATGATTGCACCATCCTACATTGATTTCGAATAACAAAGGCATATGAATTCTTCGTCTTCCTCCGCCTCTGTCTCCGTGGAATAGCATCGCCGCCAAAGTACCAAACTATCGCGAGTCAAAGAAGAAGAGATTTTCCTCCCTCAGCGCCGTCTGTCTTGCTTTGCACCATACTAGTTGGAATCGTCAAAACCAAGTTCTAGGAGTTATGCAAATTTCTCCCCCAATGCAAAGGTTTTCAGGTAATTCGATTAATCTGTATTTCCCATTAGAGTTAAGGGTTGCGTATAGATTGATACAATCACCCACGTATTCCGTACATGTGGGTTTGATGGCTGACTAAAAGTTTCTAGCCAACTAGTTTCATGTTAAATCAAACCAAAAGAAAAAGATATAGAGTAGAAAAAATGACAATACAGAGATTGAAGTCTGTGTTACAGTGTTAGTAGCTACTGCATGATGTACAGTTGGTCTTGCCCAGCTAACATAGGTGCATTCTTTCCTCAACTCTAATTAGTGTTTTCTGCGCTAAGTGCTTTGGGATACAAGATAGTTCCCCTTAAGGTAGCAATATTACTACTAGTATTAGCAACTAACTAGCAAGGGAGAGGAGAAAAAGAGGGATCAACATGAACCCTCCTCCCTACAGAATTGATCCTGCTCAATTAACTCCCATACCACAACAAATGCCCATGTCGTTATATTCGACATGTTAAGAACCATGGCAACCAAGTCATGTCTACTTGACAGAAGAAGTACAACAAACTATCCGACGATTCAGAAGAAGTACAATACATTACCCCAATAACTCGAGTTATTGGGAGGAAATTATTATGGATCTTATATCACTCTCTTACAAAAACCTAACTAAGTTCATAGGTGGGATGCAACATGCATGTGAAAATACACATTTTCTTCAACGCCTCTTCCTTCCGATATTAAAATGCATAACTGTTAAGTACTTGCTTTGCATTAGTAATTGAAGTTCCGCGCGGGGATGCATAAGGTACTACTTTGGTTGTATATCCATCTCTCTATCTCTCAGTTTCTTGGCGCAACCACTTAGTTTTAGTAGGTGTTGATAGGTGGACTCCATCAAATGTTAGGTGAAGATGCACTTCACAGAAAAACCAATGGGACACATTGGCAAAAAAGCAATGAAAATGAGCAATGGGACACAGTTGTATGGTTGATATACTGTTAGGGCTATAACATTGGGTTTCGTGCAACTGATGACTTTGTAGCAAATTCTTACTTCTATATGTGTGTACTTCAAGGAGACAGGTGAAGTAATTGCATAGGTTAGTGATAGTTTCAGTCGGGTTTTTTCCTATGTAGAGTGTGTTAGTTGGAAGCATGATGGGTTATGAATGTTGCAATACAATTGCTTTGGGTACAACCAGCATAGATAGTTGTAATGCAGAGGGTTAACACTTCTAAAAAAAATTGGGTTTTAAATCTCTACTGATTTCAGGAAGTAGACAACACACATTCTAGGTAAACAAATCCTGCTTTACCATCCACTATCTCAGTTCGATGTTCCTTCTTTTCACTGATGCTCTGTCTCTCTCTTGCAGGATCGCTATCACCTTGTCTCGATCCTAGGATAATTTTTTGGCAGTTCTAAACTTGTTGTGGACACCTATGTTCGAAGTAAGGAGGTTGTTTTTAGAGTTTCTGTTAACAAGGACGTGAGATTTGAGAGCCCCTTGGCTTATGCAGATGCTACCTAGAAAGTGTATATCTTGTATGGAAACCTCTTTGCTGCAATTTTGTATACGTTGTCAATAGATACAGTGAAACAACATATGCGGATGTCCTGGTCTCAAATTCCAAGAGAAGTTTGATGAAATAGGTTCGTGTGTTACCAAACATGTGTTTTGGCCTACACTACACTACATATATCAAATTCTTTAATTGTATTGTATTAGCCTATTGTCCAAATTTATGGATGATGGTGATTTTCAGGTGCCAATGTGGTGGCTGATAATCACGATCAATAAGGGGTATCCTTCATCCTTGTACATGAAACTGAAACGTCTACCACTTTCCGAAGGAGAAATGCCCCCAAGACAGAGATCGTCGCCTTTGTTTTGCAGAATATATGTTGGGGAATGGGAGAGGGAACTCTATGAATGCGGTAGGTAGAGCCTGGAGATGTAATCGACAACGACGAAGTCACTGTAATGTTGTTGCAGACTGCAGAGTTCTTCAAAGAGGGAGACTGACGATTTTTTTTCGTTTCAATTACCGGTTACACCAAAAAATTTCCCCATCAATTTTAAATTAGTTTTTGACAAAATATCCGATGACGGGACGTTATTGTTGTATTCCTTCTGTTTGGGTATATCAGTTGGGTCTAGCCGTCTACGAATCACGGCACGGGCCACCAGATTTTAATTTCGATTAAATGAATTTAACAACTGCCACATGCTAGTCCACGTGGACCAATCATAAGACGCGTCACCAGTGCCCAAGGTTGTCAAACCGGTTTATGCCAGTGTGCCGGTTTAGCAAGTGGAATTATTCGACCGGTAGCACATATCGGTTTGTGCCGGTTCATGCCGCAAATAAAATGATAAATACTCATATTTAAACATGACATTTAACGTCAATACTTAAACATTTATACTTGAATCCAACAAATAACATCAATATTTAGCTTTTATACTCATAAAATAAATAATAAAATTATTTTTATCAATTAAACTCACTAAAATAAGGTCATTTTACTTAGAGATTCGTATATCGATCATGCCGGTCATACCGGTAGTGTCACGCCAATTTTATGACCGGTATCTGTTAAACCAGGTTCAACCGGTGGCACGCCGACCGGCATGACAACCATGCCAATGCCGCACTTTTTATAACGGCACTATAGTATTGGCCTTCCTACAATAGAATACGTGACAGTGTGTTATCCACTTCCGGCCCACCTATCAAAAGCCTTGAGAAATAACTTCCCATGAATATGAGCCAATGACCCCATGACCCAATCGCTAGGGTTTAGGCCCAGCGAATATTGGAGCGGAAGTCTTAAAACCAATGCTGTCAAAGCCGAGCCGGAGTATGACCCGGTAACGTGAACGGCTTGGTCATTAGTGGTCCAGCCGGCATTAGACCGTTTAAAAACCGTTTGAGAACCGGTACCTAATAAACAGTCATCTGTAATAGTAGACACTTCTTAATCATGGTAAACCACAAGTAAATTACTCTCTTAAACCATTCTAGAACATCAGTACTGAAAAATCTAAAATTCAATTCCAAACCACCACATTGTTCCAAAATAGAAGCAATAGAGCTTGGTGTTGTTGATTGAGTACCACTATTTGGATTTGGAGTACTCATCTACAAAAGATTAATTGAATCAGTGGAAGCAGTAGGTTGATTCTCTACCAAATCAAACATTAAAATAAAATGTCAATTAAATCAATGACTTC